TGAAAAAGGTTCCCAGGTTCAGTTTATTAACTCAGTTTGTAACATGTAATACAGACTGCGCTGATTCTCAAAAGAGGAAAAAGTGTAAATGATTCACTGGGTCGTTGATTTACCACTACAGCATATGTGGGGCAGTGTAAATAGAAAAATAAATAAATTTCCACCAAAAAAACAATCTGAGATTTTGAGATCACAGATGTTTTCAAGAAAAACAAACATTTTTAAGCTGGAGAAGTCAAACATTTTCTAGAAAAGAAATCTGAAATTTTGAATATCTCAGAAATTTTCTCCCAAAAAAAAAAAAAAAAAGGAAATCTCTGAGTTTGAAAAGTTGAAAAATTGCCAGACAAACCTCAGAAATAGTTATTTAGGTAGAACTTTGAAATTTGAGTTTCAAATGTGGAGAATTTTGAACTTTTGACATTTGAGTTGCAAAAATTTTTAATTTTTTGCAAATAGAGAAATTAGATAATTTTATAAAGAGGGAGCAACACTGTTTCTTCTTCTGTGGTCACCAAATCACTGACTCCAAGCACAAACAAAGGCAGCTGTCTAATGAATTTGTCTCCTGATGTTTGGATCTCAGCCCAAGTGTCAAGTCATGAAAACTACCGCTGTGTTGAGCCTCACACACAAATAACCTACAGAGAAAGCATGATGCAACGAAGCAGGAGGAGGAAACAAAGCAAGAAGGATCCAGAAGAAGGTGAACACAGCAGACAGAGACAAGAGGAAGGGCTTGGAAGGTTATTTCACATGATTTATGATATTTTTGAATGAGGTCCTTACAATATTTTTTTGTACAGGAATTGCATTCAACTTCAGTGTTGAGACCCACTAGAGCTTAGACAGGACAACCTTTTCTATCCATCCAAATCTACATGTTTATCATCGGTGGAATAGATTAGAAAAAGCAAAGGGGAAATTCATGTTTTCCTTTTATTGCTTATCACAAGCAATAAAATAAACTAAAAGGAGTTGGAGAACTTTTATTCTGATTCGATTAACAGCTTTGGAATAGAAGTTAGACACATCATAATTTAATTTCATTTCAGGTTTTGGTTGTGTGGGGGGGGGGGTTCTGTGTTATTTTTGGCTGTTTTGATGGAGTATTTGGGGATATTCAAAATATCTTCCAGATCCAGTGTCAAGTGTTCTTTACTAAATTTAAATTTATTTATCTATGAGAAAGGCAAACTCGAATTAGTATTCTATTTTCAACATCACTTGAAAATGGTCTGAAAACAACATTATCGTTTATCGCAATAATTCCTGGGTCAATTTATCGCCCAGCAAAATGTCTTATCATGACAGGCCTGTGTGTAGATGTATAGGGTTAAAAACAATATATAAAAAAAGATTAAAACTAGCCAATAATAATGTACTGTACAAGACAGTTGCATAAAAATAATGTGCAATAATTAGAAATACAAATACTGGACTCAGTTGGATAAAGGATGGATTATACCTGGTTTATTAAAATACCTCTAGGAAGATTTGTCTGCCTGGAAGCTTTGCTCAGTTATATTTTATTATTTAATGCACCGTGTTCCGGCCGCGTTATTACTTGCGTTGCGCAGAGCTCTCACTTCTACCTGAGTTGTTGACGAAAGCTAAGTGTTAGTTTTCAAGTTCGGTCTGGGAGGATGTTACTGATTCATGAGAACGTCTGGGTCTTTGTTGTTTCTTGGGGGACAATAAGCATCCTTAAAATGACTGGCGCGATACTGCCGTCTTTTCTCCTCTTGGAGCTGCTGCCTGTTGACGGTTCAGGGCGAACAGCAGAGTAGAGCGCTGGAGGTGTGTTTATACAGGTGAGCGGACAGACTGAACACTGCGGGCGGCTGCGCTTCAGTCAATTAACGTAAGTGTAGCTTTAAGGACGAACCGGAAAATTTATTTCATATCAACCCGGTCTCAACAAATGGGTGTCGGATCTCATCGTGGCGGCATGTAGGTGACAGATGAGTCTCTGAGTGTGATGAACAAGGAGTCAAATCCTGCCGCTAACATGAACACAAAGGCCATAAATGTCTGGGCCAGGTGAGAGTTCATCTGTTAAATTGACTGAAGATGAATGCATAAAGCAAAAGCTGGAGAATAAACATTTTTATAAGCCTATTTGTGAGCTTAGTTCTTTATTGAATTGAATATAATTACAGATTTTTGTGTAACTTTCCTTCAGATTAACTTAGAAAGTGAGCTATTATTGTTACAAGTTAATTTTCTAAACTACAGAAAAGTTATTGTTAGGGGAACTCACCTGTGAAAAATCAGACTGATGTTGACATGCGATAGAAACACTGTTGTTACGTTAGATTTACCTTTTTTTTTTAATCTTTTGATCCGATTACTTGACTAATCATAAGAATAATTGATAGTTCACTCAATTACTAAAATATTAGTTTACAACATCCCTAAGCCAAATGAAATGAATTTTTCAAAAAAATCTGCACAATGTCCATGGAAAATTAACTTCAAGGAAAGGCATATATTACCACAGCCTTTCAAAGCTCATATGCCGATGATGCAAACAAGCTGAATGTTACTAAACCTAGTATTTTATGTTTTTATGCTTTAATAACAGCAGACCGCTTGTCATAATGATGCCACAGCCACTTGAAGACAACTGCCTGTGATTCATTTGTCTCCACAGTGGGAGTCGCAGTTCGCTTAATGACTACAGACATGGAGGATGAGGCTCCCTCTCTAAAAGACTTCATTGTTTGGCTAACGGTGACAAAGCAGTTCTGCAGGTTCCACCTTCACCTCTCCTCCCACCTCGGCAGCGGAAACTCTGCTTGAGCATGCTCCGTCCCTGAACGCCACACTTCCTGGTTGTGGAGAGCTCCATTCATTCATTCTTTCAGTGTCATGCACGTGGACTAAGGTCGCTGTACAGCTCGCTATCAGACAAACAGAACTACCTCATCGGTGACCTGAGGGCACCAGCAGCGACTGGCCACACAAAATATCTGCAGAAGCTTCTCTAATCTAACCTGCAGTTCCTAATGATATGTGAAGCCAGGAAAAAAAAACAGTAGAATCCACTTAGCTGAACTATAAAATATGTCAGGAGTATGAAATACAGATTTCATACTCCAAAATGGATTAAGCTCTTCCTCTTTTTCCCCTGTGTTAACTAGAAATAGCCAATCACAGCCAGGAAGCGAGTCTTAGTGCTGTCAATAACTCTTCGTGTGATGCTGCTTATCCTCCCTCCTCTTGAATATCTTGAATGCTAAGGCTAGTTAGCATGTCCACCAATTACGGTGCATAAACGGTTTTCCTGTACCAATAAGTTGTTTCCCCATCTTTAGTACTTCGAGCAGCAAAAACTAGCGGTTGATTGACAGCGCCAAGACGCTCCTTCTGGCTCTGATTGGTTGTTTTTGACAGCTTTAACAAAGATGTAAAAAAACATTTGTTTTTATAAAAGGTGCAATATACATAAAGCTGTAATTTTTTCAGTCATTAAGCGTTCTATTCTCTTTGGTTTTTCATTGCTATTGGCAACAGAGGTGGGCATTACTGTTATAGACAGGAATAAAATAATTCTGATTTTCCAGAAGATTAATGGAAATTTTAAATCAACTATTTTGTTACATAATGTTTTCCACCGCCTCACTTTAAACAGTCAACGGAGTGGATGTGTGAGCACATGCTAACTTCACTTCACAAGGTCTAAGTTTCATCAAAAACATTTCAGAAATCCCCTTTTATATTGAAAATACTGGAAGCAGACAAAGCTTTCGTTTCGTGGCCGAATTTTCTTTTGTGAAAACAGTAACGAACGTCAACTTTAGACTGTATATGACTGACACTTAGCTAGCACATTTCTGATTTCTGATCAGGCAGACCAAGACAGCCCTCGCCAGCCTACAACATAACTTTGCCACAGCAACATGAAAGCAGAAAATATGGCACCAAAATAAACAATGGTGTTCTGTTAAAGTTAACACATTTAATATCATCCATATGCAGTAATGAACAATGTCCATCTTGGTTTGTGCAGCTAAAATATCAGGTCCATCTGGACAGGTGCTCTCCCACTGGTTTTTAATGACTCCTCTATAAATTCATAGCAATATGAACTCTTTCTACTAAAATTCAGGGAGTAATTCATGTTTACGCAGAACCTCAATTCAATTAAGACGATCGGTTTTACCAGAAATAGTGGCCCATAGCCAAATCTGGTTAGGGCCCCAAATAATCTAGGGCTGGCTCTGAAGGAACAGTGTGGGAACGTATGACGCAGTCTAGGCCTGTGGCAGGAAGTGGTAACTCAATCAATCATATAAATTAAAACAATCCCAGTAATTTCCATTTAGGTGATTTATTGTTGTCTTCTCTCACTTTTTCCATCAAAAACTGCATGACAGTCTGGCGTTTTGGTCTCAACCAGCACTTTCTTTTTAAGGAATTTATAATTCATTTTATTTGCTTCCGTTTTATTTATCTGGGAAATTTAAAATGTCTTCCAGTTCCAGTGTTAAATGTTTAATAGAACTGAAAGTTTGTTCATCTATGAGAATGTGTTCTTGCACTATCATGCCATTACCACAATATTACTTAAAAATGGTCTCGAAATGACAACATTATCAATCGCAATAACTTCTTTGACAATATCATCCAGCAGAATGAGTGATCACAGGCGTATTCAAACTGTGAAAGACAGAAACTAAGCAGCGCTGGAATACCTACATCAAATTAGGAATCGCTTTTTACCTTAATAAAATACCTTTTCAATGTAACATAGTGTTAAAAGGCATTTAAAAGAGGAAAGTGCCGGGACAGAAATCAGGATTTCAGCTGGACGGCACACGAGCAGAGTGCGAGTTCAGGGAGACAGGTCTGTCCACGGCCTGTCCTGTCCTGAGCTCCCATAATCAGCTTACCAAGTTGAACACGGTCTCCACGATGTCTCGGTTGGAAACTTCTCCAACTTCCACCAGGCCAGCCAGCACGGCGAACTTCATCCTGATCCCCCTGATGGGGACCGCGGGGTTGAGCTGCATGGCGCCCGCTCGCCCGTCCTTTCCATCCCCTGGCTCCGCCGCCGCTGCGCTAGCCATTTGCTAAGGAAGGACGGGACAGGTGGCGTTCACAGGTAAGGCACCTGTTCACCTCCAATGGCGAGGGAGCAGCCGACGTCGAGGGGGTTGGAGGGTAACGCGGTTCTACTGTCTCCCCCTTCAGATGAGTTGTGACCGGTCTAGAGACACATACTCAAAGCGCTTTTCTTCCCATTTAAAGTAGTTTTGGAGGGACGCGGTAAAGAGGGAGCAACGGGGGAATGTGGTGCTGGTCGGAAATGTCACCGCTCCTCCACTCTCTGTCCTGCTCGCTCCGTAACTTGACACCCCAGCGGATTAATTGATGCGATTAAAGCCGTGAAGCAAGCACACGGCGCAGGCAGTGAGCAGCCAGTCGTACTCCCGCTCCACCACCTCTCTCCTCTGGACACAGTCACTTTAATTTCTCCCCTTCAGCTGTGGAAGTTGCTGCTCCCTCCGAGTGCACTCACTTGACACTCACAACCGAAAACTCCCAACAAAGGAGGGGAGAAGTCCTATGTCCGTGCTCCGAAGAAGCGCGTAGCAAACGGAGGAGTGCTCGGCGCTGCCCGGGAAGCTCCGGAGACTCGATTAAATGACAAGGTTGAGCCAGCTGCGCTGGGTTTGCTTCCTGATCTGCCCCGGTAGCTTCAGCTCGTCACCGCCATGACAGTAGAACCCTAGAGTGAACGGCGCATGCGCTGTACAGACCAACGTCTATTCAGCTCTGAGGCAGGTGAGCCGCTCAGGTGGCCTCTCAGAATGCTGTAGTTCAATTAATAATCTCTCATTTCTTGGGATCTTCACTCCTAGCCTCGGCCTCTGCTCAGGATCATTTGAGAAACAATCAACAAAACCAGAACTGTTGTCTCTGTCCACCGGATAAGCAAGCAAATCGCTGGCGGTTGTGTATATAAGTCATACGACCTTGACAAAACTCGAAAAATATGGCTTTATAATGTAATATAGATTTTCCAAACATAAATCCATAAAATACAACAAATCAGTAAACACATACTGATATATTCCAGGCATTCATTTTGATGATTATATCTTATTGATAATCAAGATCTAAACTTCATTTTCTCAGAAAATTAGAATTGAATAGCAGAAGGGATTTTTTTTAACAGAAAAGAATAGAGTAGCCTGGTGAATCTTTGTTGCACGAAGTTTTAAAAAATAAAAGCATTTCAGCAGTTCCCATTAACAGCTGCATTTTAGCTTCATGGCTGGAGTAATTCTTTACTAGAGGAAAGTCCACAAAATGCAGATTAAAAGCCTTCAGCTGTCCCAAAACACTGCCACCTGAGTTCTGATGAAAATGAAAATCTGAAATCATATTTCTCCTTTTTCCCCCGCTTCTCTTCACTGGCTCCCTGTTAAATCCAGCATAGAATCTAAAAATCTCCTACTCATTCAAAAAGCCCTTAATAATTAACTCCTTCATCCATCAGGTGTTCCAGTAGAACCAGCTCCCAGTTTTAGTCCAAGAGGCAGACATCCTGTCTACTTTCTAGACTAGGCTTACAACTTTCCTCTTTGCTCAAGATGATAGTTAGACTGACTCAGGTTATCCTGAGCTATCTCTGTAGTTATGCTGCTAGGCTAGTTTGGAGTCTGTTGCCAACAAATTAAAGCATATCAGATGACACTTGGCCATGACTCCCAGTTTCTTCCCTGTCTCTCTCCTGGACAAACTTTACTGGTTGAACTCTATTTGCTGCTAACTCTTCATCCTACAGCCTTTAAAACTGATTCAGAGTTTATCTATATAGCCGTGTATCGAGATGAAGCCGCTGATGTCGCTACTCTGTGCTGCTAACTTATTGACATATTTTGATCCCAAATGCAACACGCTTGCCCCATTCCTGATGTACTTTAATAAAACATTAGCAACATAGTCTATTTTCTTCAAAATGTAAAAGACAAAAGACCACGCCATTGAAGTAAGTAATGTACGTAAAAGAATAATAAAAAAACAAATTTACTGATCACTTTTAAAATGTTCACAATGGCATGTTCAATTGCATTTAATTTTCATGCGCTTTAAATCCAGATTGGACTCCTGCTGGTCTATATTTGTATTGCAATCACACTGAGAAATGTTGACTCTTTTACTTTTTTCCCACACAATTTGCTTCTTCTGTCCGACCGTTATTGAATTGGGTAATAAAGCTTTAGTTCATTCTGCTCCCTCTTGAAAGTTGCCACAAGAAACTTTGAGATTGACTGAATTCCTCTTGTTTAGTGCTTTTACATCCAAACTAAAAGTTCTCTAGGCAGATTTAATAACAGTGTTTTTGATAGCTTGACATTTTCTTTCAACTGTGTAATGTATTTTGTGCCGTTGCTGCCTAACGACCAGGACTGCGCTGAATAAGAGGTTTGTAATCTCAGTGGGGTTTCATCCTGATAAAATTAAAAAATAAAAAATAAGGAAAACAGCAAAACTCCTGTGGCCCCAAAAACTGAAACCAAAAAACAATAAAACAATCACATATAAAACGCCAAACGTTAAATAATTTGTTTGAAGAGAACAACAAACAGCGTTGTGGTTTAAAGAAATCAATTTAAAAAAACGAGCAAAGATTTTGCAACAGCACAAGGAGAAATGTCTCCATCCCGAGGCTCAGCAGACCAGACATTGATGCAAAGTGACAGCTCTGCTTTGCTTGCCTTTTCATATCACCTCCATCACCATAACCCCCTAACACGTGATATATTTGCAGAGCCGGTTAGATGAGGGGTCCCACTTTCATCCAACTCCGTGATTGCATCATGAACTGATTCTAATTGCGCTCGGTCGGAGCTGTGGTAATAAATGCTCTAAATCCATCTTCCCCTGTGTCAGTCTGCTCTGCTGACTTCAAATTCACCCTGCAATGGGGATGAAGAGGCTGGAAGCGTTTCCACAGAGCCAGCTGATGCCACTGCTGCTGCTGACCTCCCTGTACACTAGAGCTGTTTCCACAGGGACTGTGGGAGCCATGGAAGCCCTCACCAGGGACAGGCCGCACTTTTCGATTTAATGTTCTCACATCAGCTGACTGGCTCCAATAGGATATGTTATTAGTGGGGCATTATTGTGTAAAATTGACTTACATTTTTCCCTTTTATAATGTTTTCCTCTCATCAAAGGCACACATGGAGTGTTGCTTTGATTATTTCATGCATGAGAAATCCTTTAGTCTGCCTTGGCAACCATTCAGCTGTGCAAAACGCCTGGCTGGACCTAGCCCCGCCTTCGGCGTGATGCTCCTCTTCTGAGCTGCAGTTTCCGAGTTTCTGCCTCATAGAGAAGCACTCCCTCGTGGCTCCCTCATTCAGCTCCTTCAGACTAGCCAGCAGCAATTAGCAAACACCTGGTGGAACTGTGATAAATACATTGTTAACAGGTTAATAGAGGAGCCATATTGTGATGACTTCCTGAGGGTGGAGCTTCAGAAAAAGCAGGAGTTTTTAAAGAGACACAAACCCAATACTCAAGGCATTACATTACAAAGTCAAATTTTATTTAGGTCATATTTAATATAGCTAGCATTTTTCTCACCTTGTTGTGATTCAGAAACCAGATTGAGATCATAGGAGCTTTGTGTTGTACAATAAGGACACAAGGTGGGTGGCATGGTCAGTATCACCACTGTGTGGCCTTTAAACACTGCCTTATCAGTACAAAGAAACTCTAAATAGTGGGGAGAAAATATCTTCCGCCCCACTGAACCTTGAGCCCGATAAAACACACAATGGATCCAAACTGTTGATTTTTCTACCTTACCGTGAAATATTTCAACTGAATTCATTTTAGTAAGCGGTTATTTGAGCTGTTGTTGGCATTTCTATGATTTTATCTTTGCTATATCTTCTAAGCCACTCAGAGCTGGTAAAAATAAAACATCACATTTATGGAGGGTACATGTGTTTTATTTGTTCATATTTTACAGGACTGCTTGCTTTTACTTGTATTTCCTTCAGGAGTTGGCATTGGTGGCTGGAGGCATTTTACCAACAGAGAACATTCCTAGCTGTGGCAGCCGGGGCGGAGCCAGTCAACGTGCCTGTTTGACCTGTTAATGCAAAGAAACTAGTTACACCTGTTGAAAGCTTGTGATATTGCCATAACTATCATTTTAGCCACTTTTACTCCCAATATTTTGAAAGAAAAATTATTTTATATCTTTGAGGTCAAAAGTTGCTGGTTAAACCTTTTCTGTAGGAATTTACAATTTTATCCCATTTCTGTGAAGTCTGTGCAGAATATTTTTTATTGTGTACTTTTTCATATAGTTTAAGTTAATACTGGTTTGGTGAACTGATTCTGAATGTTTTATCAGTCTTTATCAGTCTTGCGTCAGTCTTCCCTGTCAATCTAATTAATAGATTTGAGATTCTATTCAATTGTCATTTCTGTTATTACTTAAAATAACAATAAATAAGAACATCATGGGAAATGTGATTATTTCAAAGCGTGAATTAAAAAAAATAAAAATCATTTGGTATGTACTAATAGATGGACTTCTCAAGTTTTCCTTTTCTATTTCCACACAATTTCTAAGAAGACAGTTACTGAAAAGCCCAAAGGTTCCAGACAGCCAAGCATCATCTCTGGCAGTGTGTGTGTGCGAGTGTGTGTTGCATGACGAAAACCTACCCTGCTTCTTCCAAGGCCAAAGGTAGCAAAGCCCATCACGTCACTGCAGATTAGGAAAGCCTGGCAAACTTTCCTAATCTAAAATTGATAAAACTGATGGAAGTTGTGGCAGGCAAACCCCCTCCCCCCCCAAAAAAAACATCTGAAATAAACAAAATAAAAAAATGTAAATAAATAAAGATTTACAATAACTAATAAAAAAACATGCAATTTTTTTGTATACCACACATGAGCTTTGTTTACAATTATAGGGCCAGTTGACTAAGATAGCAACAACTCTGAGATTTTACCTGCATTAATTTTAATAGCTGTATTTTCTTTGTTATTATTCATTTAATATTATGTGTTATGTTAATCTGAATAACCAAAATAAACAAAGCCTATACTTTAAAGGCTGTTTTGGAGGCTATAAAATAATTGCTACAAAAAAATAATGGAATCTAAACATACTAATTAACATGACTGATATTTTTCATTGATTGCTGAAATAATTTTTATTTAAAGAAAGCTCAATTTAAAATTCTAAAGTTTGACAGCATAGATTGTATTTCTGTAAACAGCCTGTAACCAGCAGAGGGAGCCCACAGAAATGACCAGAACCCGCGATAATTCAAGTGTCACGTCCCCGGCTTGACGTTCTCCTTAACTCTCGCGATATTTCCTGTTTCCTCCTCTTTCGCTCCCTGTAGCCAACATGGCAGTCGGCAAGAATAAGAGGCTGACCAAAGGCGGCAAAAAAGGTGCCAAAAAGAAGATGTAAGTCAAAAATTCTTACACAGATACACGGAATATGTTTTCTGCTTCTCACCGTTATTGGTTTGGTGAGAAAAATGTGACGGATGAAGTTGATATTAGACAGATGGTAGAGGTAAGGACGCTGGTCCTGTCGCTGCCGGCCTCTGAGTCTGTGTATGGAGCTCAGACACGCTCTCTAGCAGAACTTCTTACTGCGGCTTTCTACCGCTTAGTTTAACTTGCACAACGCGCAGCGACGGTGTTCAGTATGTCTAGAGAAAGGGTAGAGTTCCGTGTCTGTCCGTAGTCGGTTATAGCAGCGATATTTGCCGAAGCTGCTCAATGTTAGCAGGGCTGAGTTAAGCGATGAGCTAGCTGCCTGCAGCACAGTTTAGCTCCAGACCAATTGAGAGAGTTCTTCGTTAGGCTGAGTTACATTTCAGAATCATTGAAGTGCTGAAGAAGTTTAAAGCTAAAATCTGTCTCTTGTTTACAGTGTGGACCCGTTCTCCAAGAAGGACTGGTACGATGTGAAGGCACCAGCCATGTTCAACATCCGCAACATTGGCAAAACCTTGGTCACCAGGACTCAGGGAACCAGTAAGTCTGCATGCGGTACCCGGGGACACTTTATTGTGTAACCATTTTTCTCTACAGGATCTGACAGGGAAGACCAATGTACAGCTAACATTTAGTCACAATAGTTTTCTTGTGTTTTGTAGCAAAGAAATTGGTAATAGAAAATAAGTCAGTATTTGTCAGCTTTACATGCACAGATATTGTTGGAATTAAATGATTCTGTAATACTGTTAGCTTCTTTTGAAATGTGAAAATTACTTGGTTCGAAATTGTTCTTGGTTAGTAGGACACTTAATTTTCGCGAGCTGTATATTCAAATTGTCCATTACTATCTTGTTTTTGAACTACAAACAGGAATGTGTATGATGTAAATAATAATGATTTAGATGAACAATGTATTACAAAAACTGCAAAGATAAAGAAAATAGTTCTATTAGAACAGCATAATACTTTCTGCAGTATTGGTTGCACGGTAGCATGTAGCTCAGGTTAGCTTATACCAACCACTGGATACAAAAAGTTGAACAAAATATCCATTTTGAAATGTGTACTATTGTATATGTTTCATTTGCTAATCTAGTATTCCTCAGATCTCTTTATTTTATTTTGTCTTTTTGTAAAGAGAATTATTGATTGTGACTTCAACTCATGAGGAATTTCCATGGTGGGAACTAAAAAAAAAAAAAAATCCCAAAAGTGGGACAGCACTTTGGCCCAGTCAGGATAAGACTGAATCTTTGCTCCTCTTCATGACGTTTGAACTCTTGACGCTCCTCTCTGTTTGTCAGGAATTGCCTCTGATGGACTGAAGGGACGCGTGTTCGAGGTGAGCCTGGCTGACCTGCAGAACGACGAGGTGGCCTTCCGCAAGTTCAAGCTCGTCACCGAGGACGTTCAGGGCAAGAACTGCCTCACCAACTTCCACGGCATGGATCTGACCCGCGACAAGATGTGCTCCATGGTCAAGAAGTGGCAGGTAATGTTGGGTTCGGAGCAGGAAGTGGCTTTATTCTGTTATTTATTTATTTTTTTTTTTTCATTTAAATAAATTAGTCATTTGTGAACCTGAACAAGAAGGGAAGATTAGTTGATTTAGTTTTATGGCAGTATTGACACTAGTTTAGCTGTTTACTATGTGGAACTTTGCATTAGGGATCCCCGTTTTTCACTTCTGTTATGATATAAAAAATTTAGTATCAGCTGATGCAGAACACTGCTGGATTGATTTTAAGTTGTTTCTAAAAGAGAAAAAAAATCAAACATAAATGTTCAAATTCCAAATTAATTTGCTAACCCTGTGTCAGTACAGCACTTAAATATACAATTAGCTTCACAAGCTTGTTGTTCAGTCAGTGCAATTAGGAGCAGAACAGCCAATGTAAAATAAAAAAAAAATTTTTAAAATACAAAACATTGAATTATACTGAATAGATTTGTCGTTATGGATAGGCCTCATTGTCACTGATAACCAACATAGATATTTTTTCTATACTGGCACTGATTCAGATATTTTTTGATCGGTCCATCAAGTTTGTGAATATGATTTCCCAGTTTGAGTATAAATGCTGCAGAGACCAGGAACAATGGTTACCAGTCAGCACTGGATGTGGCTAATTAGTGCATTAGTGCATGGTTGTTTAGAGAAGCTAAAGCAACACATGGAGATGTGACATGATGAAGTATTACTAAAAATATAACAATGTTACTAGTCATCATTCCATATATAGTTGTTCAGGTGCTTTGGAGTGGATTGGCAACAAACGTCTGTAGTGAAAGCGTCATGGTTGCTCTCTGATTCAGGGTTCAGAGTCACATACGGTATGGTTGACATGGAAACTGGAACACGTGTGTTTTCTACCTGGATCAGCCTTGTTATCAGACCTTTAGATTGTAGAAGTTAAACATCACGCCGTCTTGTGATTTGCGTTGATCAGTAGACTGAGAATGTGTCCTGGTGTTTTTGCTCAGACCATGATCGAGGCCCACGTAGACGTGAAGACGACCGACGGATACCTCCTGCGTCTCTTCTGTGTGGGCTTCACAAAGAAGCGCACCAACCAGATCAGGAAGACATCATACGCCCAGCACCAGCAGGTCCGCCAGATCCGCAAGAAGATGATGGAGATCATGACGCGCGAGGTCCAGACCAACGACCTGAAGGAAGTTGTCAACAAGCTGTAAGTTCACTTCCTGAGCAGCAGAGGGAAGCCATAGCTGAACTCCTGATGGTCAGGTGGAAGATGTTTGACGCGTTTTGTTTTTTATGGTGCGTTTCAGGATCCCTGACAGCGTCGGCAAAGACATAGAGAAGGCTTGTCAGTCCATCTACCCCCTACACGACGTCTACGTCCGCAAGGTCAAGATGCTGAAGAAGCCCAAGTTTGAGCGTAGGTCCACCTCATCAGTGTTCAAGGCCATATGGGAGCGCGTGATGACAAACTGTTTCGGTCCCATATGAGTGCCTGATTACTGCTTAATGAGATCTCCTGATGCTCCGTTCTAACTCGGACATCACCTCTTCAGTACCGTTACTGGTGAGAGGAAAAAAACAAACAAACTAGTTCTTTCTCATTGCAGTGGGCAAACTGATGGAGCTCCACGGCGAAGGCGGCTCCACCACCACCACAAAGGTTTCTGGGGACGACACCGGAGCCAAGGTGGAGAGGGCCGATGGCTATGAGCCCCCCATCCAGGAGACAGTCTGAACACACCAACAGATTTAATAAAACATGTAAATGACCAACAAACCCCTCTCTGGCTGCATGTTTGTGAAGGAGCTGCTTTTGGTGTCAGTTCTTGTTATGAAAGATCATATTCAATAAATATTGAAGAGTTTATTTCAGTAACTTGATTCATAGTGATAAACAGTTGAAAAAGCTTTGGGCTTTGTTATTTTCTGATATCCATAAAGCAAAAAATAAAAAATTAACTGTTTAAGAAATGTTATTTGAAGGTTTTATTTGATAGTGAATTGACAAGAAAGAGGGTAATAGAATATGGCAAAGGTCACCAGGCTGGGAATCAAACCTGCGACAGGCCTAACTTAAGGCCTCTTTATGTGAGTTGTGCTTAACCCCTCCACCACCACAGCACCCTGTAAGAAAACATTTATAATAGACAAATCAGGGAGGGATTAGTGAAAAGTTCGGAGGTTGTTTTCCAGAGGTCTTGACCATCATGGTGAAACTCTTCCTGCTGTCATGGCTGCAGTGAGTTCTGGAGCCAGTCAGCTGAGGAGCTGAGCAAACAGCTTGGTTTTTGTCCTCTCTGTGGATGTTGGTGAGTTGGGTCTGGTCTGGCCCAGGAGCAGGCTGACACCATGACCCAGATATGTGATACACTTCAGAGTTTCCTCACTTCCACAGAGTTCGTCTGTCTTCTGGTGTCACCATTGGGAAAACCTCAGCTATTAGTCACTTCATTTAAGGAAAACCGTATTGTTTTATTGTATGAAATAAGTAATAAGAGTAATAATAAAGTAATTTCAGCAGTAGTAATAACATACACTTCATCTTTTAAGCAAATAGTACTGGAGGTTTCTATTAACTACTGCTGGTCATCTTCAAAGCAGACATACTCGGATTAGAGAGCAAATTATTACACTAAAACTAAGGGCCAAATATTTCCGTGGCATGGATGATGAAGCACCAGTAGGGGGAGCATGTGCTCAGTTAAATTCAGAATAGACCTTGAGAAATACTGACAATTTTATTTTATTTAGGACGTAGTTCAGTAAATGCTTGAGAAACTTTGCACAACTTTAAATACTGTTTCAGTTTTAATGCTGTCCAAACACGACTGATGAAACGTCCACCGGTTTAATCTACAAGTCCATTAATCAAGGACTTTTAGATAGTTTTTAGGGACTAGGGCCCGTTTCCCCCTCAAGTCCCCCAGAAACCATTCATCATCTGCCGGCTCCAGGTTGGTGACGATGTCTCCGACCTGTGGGTGAAAGAAGAAGACAGGTGGGCTGGGGTCTGGGTTTTGGCTCCGTATTGAGTAAGAAAGAAGACGCCAAACACCTCTGTACCTGGAGTGAGAGTTCCTCCTCACAGTCTGATGTGAAGCTGTACAGAGCCCTTCCTCTCAGGCAGCCAGCGACTCGATCCTGCTGCTCTCCTGATGAGGAACACAGCAACGTGTTAGGTTTCGCCGTTTAACCTTTAACCTTTGGGCTGTTTTCACATCTGATAATTCAGAAGGCAATATTGGATTGAGGACCAAAATTACAACATTTGTTCCATTTTCAGCTGCTGCTGTTAACTGAGTATTGAGTCAAACCAACCAAACCCTCTGAAATACATGTTACCCTCCTCACCTGTGGTGGCGCTGCACCAAGAACTATGAAGGAAACAACACAACAACCTCTGAAAAAGATGCTGACCACAAGTTCCTTCTTTGCAAAATGCCGGGATGGCCAACAAATCAATAACAATATATCATGCAATAACATAATCAATAGAAGATACATCCAATAAAATGTCCAAGACTGACATTGAACTCTGATCCAGAACAGAACAGCATTCTGGGAGATGTAGGCAGAGGAAAGGCTATAACCTCTTTACCTCTCACGGTGAGCTAAGCAAGTTTGGTAGCATCAACAAACCCATTCGCTCTCTGGTTACCAAGCAACAACCTGTTGAGTAACTTGTGCAGCAGCAGTTTTTTGTCTTGGCATTGTGTCTCATAACTGCTTAAACAGAGTCATGAGGCATGTTGATGCTTGTGTAAAGAACAACAATTTGGAGAAAAAACTGGATAAAACAGAAAAACTTGTGTCATCAGTTTGGCAGGACATCAGATGTTTTAAAACAAAAAGAGAGAACACAAGTTATCAATATAACTAATAAAAGTTATCAATATAACTAATAAAAGTTATCAATATAACTAATAAAAGTTAGCAATATGACTAATATCAATATCACTAATATCACACCCTTATATCGTTTTTCAGTTATATCGTCCAGTATGTGATTTTAGCTGTTAGAGTATTTCTCTTTTGTTTTGGGAAAATAAAACATCTACAGGCCATTTCTGCCTTTAGTTCTAGACTCACGCCTATTTTTTTGTTGCATTTACCCAGAGTGCCCTGTGCTTTACTCCACTTCCTGCTTTTGGAAGTGGCGTTCACATATACATTTGAACCGCACCAGAATTCACTTCAACTGAACTGAAACCGAGGATTCAGTTCGATTATGCATTCACACCTCCCCAGGCAAACCGGACTTTCTAGACCAATGAACTGGAGTTGGATTAAAGCAGATCGAACAGGGCTGGTGTGAATACACTCTCAGATGAAATAGCAGCAGCTGCACAAGTGCACATGGATCGGGTTATGACATGCACATTTATTGATCAGTTTGTCAGATGATTAAATACTAAACATCAGAATGGAGAATTTTTTCCAAGAGTGCAGGGTTGAGTTTGCACATTAAACCTTAGGCGGTTTAGCTTTCAGCTGTTAGAACTCTTGACACCCTGCTGAGAACGCTCTGTACCTGACGAGATGTCGACGAAGGCCCTGGGAATCATGCCCTCCCTGCCGTTGAGCCTGCCACTGCTCCACTCCTCGCTCAGGTGCTCGGTGATCAGGATGCAGTCGTCCTTCTGAAAGGACAGCTCGTCCTGAGTCTTTGCTGCGTAGTCGTACAGAGCCACCGCCCACTGCACACCAGACCCGGCGGTCTGAGGACAGACATGGAGGCAAACGGAAGAATCAGAATGTAAACTCATAAGCATCCGTTGAGTTTCTGTTTTAGGTTCATGTGTTCCAGGCTGATCTTTGGTGACGTTGATGCTTGTGTAAATAATGGCTACCTGGGCAGGTTTGGCAGCTGCTGCTTGTCCAAAGGCAGAATGAGCAGCAAGACCTGTGAAAACAATAATAATAATAATAATAATGAAGCAGTACTAAGTTTACATTTGACACACAGGAGTTCCAGCCTGCTGCAGTGGTCTTCATATGCAAATGTGCTCATTACAGGGAAACTTTGACAAGCTAACCGCTAACCTACATCTGTGCTAAAACCGTGGCTTGTTTGAACCTGTATCTATAATTTTGACCCAATGTGGATAAAATCTTGTGCATCCGTCTATTATTTTTGGTTTTTCAGTCACTGCACTTTTTTTTCACTGCGTAATCAATCCACCTCTGAGTGAAAATAACCGCTGAAATTCATCTTTTACCGTAAACTTGAAACATTTTGTTGGTAAAACGAAATAGTTTGATTCCCAGTTCGGGATCTTTCTGCCACCATCCTAAAACATGACAGTCAGGTTAATTGGTTTCTCTAGGTGTGTGTATGTGCATGTTTGTTTGTCCTGTCTGTCTCAGCACTCCTCCCGACGCATCTATACAAAGGTGTAAGAAGACGGATGGAAGCAGAGGAGTTGCTGACTTGTATTTGGATGCGGAGTCTTAAATGAAGCAAAAACAGAGACACAAATTCCTCCGAGGCAAGAGAAACAACTCCATGAAGACTGACGAACGGGTGAGGTCATTTCATTAAAGGGCCAGTATTATGGATTTTCCAGGCACATTTTCTAGCACAATCAAGTAACTATATTATCTTTAGTTGCTAGAATTGATTTTGTAATTTCTCTTTTTGAAACTCCATCTTTTAACCCTTTGACGACGTTTCAACCAGCATTGTTAGGTCTACCCAGAGGGTTTCCACAGCTATTCAGCTGGGAGATTAAAGGACTTTCAAACAAGCATGTAAGAATCAAAACGGCACTCCAAGTAAAGTAAAAAAAAAAAAAAACCCAGTCTATTTTACATAATTCCGCCCCCTTAAGATGACAGGATGAGGCTGAACCTGGTTCAGATTACTTCAGCTAAAGCAGAGCCAGCATGAGGTGTGAATCGTCCTCACCTGGCAGCGCCACCCCGGCAGCCGGACCCGGCTGCTGCCCCGGGGGCGGAGGCAGATCCTCAATGACCTCCACAAAGTTCAGGGGGAAGATGCCCACAGAGACGCCGACCTGCCCCCGAGCCCAGTCCTCCCCCACATACTCCTTCAGCTGGATCACGTCCCCCTCCGAGAAGGACAGCTCATCGCTGTGCTCCCCCTCGAACTCGAACCGGGCCACACACCTGGGACCGCTGCCAAGACAATTCATACGTCCAGTCAGCCTCTCAGGATGGACACCGCAAAGGTTCAAAACTCAACAGAACAGTACCTGACGGAGGCAGCTGGCCTCTTCTTCTTCTTCTTGGCTAACGGTTTGGATGAATTGGACTGATTGGAGAAAAAAAAAATCACCATCAACTTTCTTTCATTCATAGATTTTGTCTACGTCATATTTATAGAATGGCTGCTTGCTTGAAACCTACCAGCACTTCAACATAACTGATGGGAAAGAACCCAGTAGAACCGTTACAGGTTCCTCTGAACCACTGGCTGTCCACCTGCTCCACTTCAGTCACAACGTCTCCTGCTGAGAGGCTCAGCTCCGTCGGACCCTCTGCCGTCACAACCAAAGATTTAC